GAAGGGGTCGAGACCCACAGGTTGAGAACTGCTGCCCTAAAGGGAAAGATAGTCTCAAGTTGGGATTGTGAGGAAGGGGTGGGCAGTGAGGGCTAAGGAGCCAGAACAGAAAGGGAGTTTTTGCCTCTTAGCAATGAAGCGCCTGTCGGATCGGGGATGGGCAGACAGAATGAGACCGACTCGAAGCCCGCTGCCAGGTGCCCGGAGGTGGGCAGAGTCAGTCCATCAAGCCCATGGAGGCTGGTGCGGTGGGGTCCCCTGTGGGTCCTGAGAGCTCTGGCCCTGTTCCCAGCTCTGCGGAGGGGTGAGGCCCGCCGAGCCAAGGCTTCAGAAGACCTGCTGAGGCAGAGACTGCAAGGGCTGGAGGCTGAACTAGAGGAGGCCCGAAGGGAAGGGAAGGCCGCCTATGCAGGTAGGTGATCGGCCAAGCAGGGGGGCAGCAGGGGGGCTGGAAGAGGACAGCCCAGAGGCCAGAGGATGCAGGAAAGTGAGGCCGGGAGGCTTCCACCCGTCATGCCTGGTCTCAGGCTTCCCAGCAGAGCCAGACCAGGCAGGACCTGCAGGGAGGAGAGGAAGGCCTTTGGGGTTCTGGGAAGGGGCCTTCCAGGATGCCTGATGCCGCACTGTGGATGCTCTGTGGGTTACAAAATGCAGTCCTCGCCTTAATTTCATTCACCCCGTGGGAGGGAGCAGGGGAAGGCTGCCACCCCATCCTGAGCCGGCATGGAAGCCGGGCCTGGTCCATGCGTGGTTCTCGGGTTCTGGGGCCCCTCCGCTCCCCAGAAGCACCAGGAGAGCCATGAAGGCCATTGTGGTCTTGTCCCACGGGACTAAGCAGAGCCACTCACACCCACAATGCCCCTCTTCCTCCCCCTCCACCCCACCGGACCCTGGCCGCTCACTGCCCCACAGAGATGAGTCGCCAGTGCCAGGCCCTCCGGGAGGAAGTGGAGACGCGTGGCAGGCAGCGGGAGGAGGAAGACAGAGGCCTTCGGGAGCAGCTCGGTAGGATCCCCGTCCCCTAGCCTTTCGCTCAGAGGGTCATGAGGTCGGCCTGAGGCGGACTAAGAGGTCTTTCTCCAGAAGACTGCAGTCCTGGCTCTTTAATCACTTTCCCCCACGGCCTCTCCTGCCTTTGCGGACTAGAACAGAGGGTACAGGATGTCAAAGATCTTAAGTGAAACCTGACCAGCGTGGCTCAGTGATTGAGCGTCTACCTATGAACCAGGAGGTCAGGGTTCGATTCCCAGTCAAGGGCACATGCCAGGGTTGCAGGTTCAATTCCCAGTGTGGGGCCTGCAGGAGGCAGCCGATCAATGATTCTCTCTCATCATTGATGTTTCTCTCTCTCTTCCTCTCCCTTCCTCTCTGAAATCAATAAAAAAAAATTTTTTTAATCTTAAGTAAAGAAGACAAGTCTCTCACCCCATTTCCCCCTTTCAATGGCTTCTCCAAACCCAGCTGTTCCTCCCATCACTGCATCTTTCCTAAGCAAAACATATTCCCTCTTAGTCTGGCTGACTTTTACAAAACGCAGGGAAATGTTTGGCTTGTTTACTTCCATATCTTCAAGGCCTAGGCCATCGTGAGAAATGGCTCACCTGTCCGAATTTCAAATGTTGGGCTGGGAAACAGAAGCATGGTGAAAATGAGACTTTTTTTTAAAGTTTAGATTATTCTGTCAGCTTTTTTTTTTTTTTTTATCCTACTGGGGATCAAACCCACAACCCGGGCATACACCCTTGACCGGAATCGAACTCAGGACCCTTCAGTCCGCAGGCCGACGCTCTATTCTATGAGCCAAACCAGCTGGGGTGAAAATGAGACTTTTAATAACACTGACGAGAGCGGCGGCCCATTGTACAGGCACAAACATGGGGCAGGGAACACAGCTTATTTATTTAGTCCCTCCTCCGATTCCTCATTGGCTGGGTACTATTTGGTCACCTGTTTCCTAATACATCGCCTAGGTCTTGCTGTTCCCATTGGGCCATTTAAAAAACATTGGGCTGAGGCCTTTCTAGTTGACTCCCCCACCCCTGTCTAGCTGAGGCAGACGCCTGGGGGGTTTCCACCATGTTGGCCCACAGGCACAGCTCTTGGCCCCTCCCTCCTCCCTGCACTCTGCCTGCCCTGGGGAAGTTCAGTAAATCCCATCCAAAGGCCACCATGCTGCCCTGGCCAGTGTGGCTCAGAGGATAGACCGTCAGCCTGTGGACTGAAGGGTCCCAGGTTTGATTCTGGTCAAGGGCACATGCCTGGGTTGTGGGCCTGATCCCCAGTAGGGGGCGTGCAGGAGGCAGCTAATCAATAATTTTCTGTCATTATTGATGTTTCTATCTCTCCCTCTCCCTTCCTCTCTCTGAAATCAATAAAAATGTATTTTTTAAAAAGCCCACCATGCTGGAGATGGTCACAGAGGTGCATTCCCTGCACCATGGTGGACCCTAAATAACTGTTTGCTAAATAAATGAATAAACCTCCCAAATAAGCAAATACTAGTATATTTTAAAAACAGGAGTTTTTGCTTTCTTCCTTCTTGGTTACCGGATAGAGTTGAAATAGGTTAGCATGGCATACAAGGTTTCTTACCACTTAGGCTTCTAAGTTTTCTTATCCTAAAATAGCTTTAGTTTAGCTGTAGATGATTCAAGAGTTGCTTATCTGCCAGGCAGACCCTGAATTCCTTTCCTATTCTTTGCCTGATCTCAAATTTCAATAAAATCATTATTTACAGGGCACCTCCCAGGTGCTTCACATGCATAATCACATCTACATTATTCACAGCAAGCCTAAGAAGTATGTGACATTCTCTCTTTTCTTTTTTTTAACCCTCACCTGAGGATATGTTTATTGATTTTTAGAGAGAGGGGAAAGGAGAGAGAGAGAGAGAGAGAGAGAGAAACATCAATCAGTTGCCTCCCATATGTGCCCTGACCAGGGATCAAACACACAACCTAGGTAGGTGCACTGACTGGGAATTGAACCCTCAACCTTTCTGTGTATGGGACAATTCTCCAACCGAGAACCCGGCCAGGGTGTGACATTTTCTCTTTAAAGATGAAGAAACTGAGGCTCAGAGAGAGGCATGCCCAATGCTACGCAGGAGTAAGTGACAAGCAGAGTTGGGACCCAGCTCTCTTGTCCCAAGCCCTCTACTCTCTCCACTGCACCCCAATAGAACTTCAACTCCCTGTAGGGACCACAGGGAATCAATGACCCTGGGGGAATCTGGAAGAATCCCACTCAAGTCCCCCTTTGTGTGCCATTGGAGACTCTGTTCAAGGGCAGTGTCGCCATCCTGTCCTCTTTCATCCTCTGCCCACTCCCCAGAGATGCGCCGGGCAGAGACTGCAGCTGCGCAGGGAGTGGCCAAGCAGGCCCTCAGGGAGCGGGACCAGACTCGGGCTCAGCTCCAGACCCACGTGTCAGATGTGGAGGCCAAGTGTGAGGAAATCTTACATGTAAGCTCACCCTCTGAACCCAGCCACCCAGACCCAGTGCTCCCCCAACACCGCAGACCGGGGCAAGAGAAGCAGATCCCCACAGGGAACTCTGCTCTGTCTTGAGGGGATGCAACCATGCCCACCCACTAAGACCAATCACTTTAAGAAAACACTGGCAAGGAAAGCATGTAGACCCACCTGGGCACCCCTCACGCTCCCTCTCCCTTCCTGGAGCCTGAGGCTTGGTGTCTGCAGGGCAGCCTGGACCAGCTCCTGGCTAAGCTGAGAGCCCTTGAGCCTCGGTGGGATGGCGTGGGGCTGAGACTCCCCGCCAGGCACCGGGAGCAGCTCTGGCAGCTTGGACTCAACCCCCTGGACCTGTGCGGCTGTAGCAAACAGCCTCCGGGGCCTCTGGAGCCCAGCAAGAAAGCCGCCTTGATGTAGAAGTCAACAGAGCTATGGTTGAAGCTTTTTGGCGAAGATGAGTGCCTCTCATGGGAACATCTTGGTTCTGGCTGACCCATTAGCCCAAAGACTGAATGATGGGAGAGAAATCTGACAAGGTCTTAGACCTGCTCCTAGAGCAGGGGTGGGAACGTCCGGCCCTGCAGGCCTATATGGTCTGGCCCTGCCAAGGCATTAGGGGTGAGTTAATTAAATGTTTGACCAAATATAGCAGGCTAATTTTTATTTTCAAATATATTTTTATTCATTGCAGAGAGGAAGGGAGAGGGAGAGGGAGATAGAAACATCAATGATGACAGAATCATTGATCGGCTGCCTCCTGCACGCTCCACACTGGGGATTGAGCCCACAACCTGGGCATATGCCCTGACCAGGAATCGAACCCCAACTTCCTTATTCATAGGGCGACACTCAACCACTGAGCCATGCCAGCTGGGCAGGCTAATTTTTAAGTTGATAATTTCGTATGGCCCTTGAATGATGTTATACGTATCCAAATTGCCTTTCGCAGAGAAAAGGTTCCCCACCCCTTGAGCCTGGGGCTCTTTTTGTCCCTTTGAACAATAGCCTCAGACCCTCACCCACACAAACACAGGCAGGCAGGATGGTGAGGGAAGGTCATTTCTGAAATAGACCAGCAGCGGTCAGGCACAGCCCGCAGTCCTGCGGGGCTCACAGAGGGACAGTGTGACTGGTCTCCAAACTCTTGCAATCCATCCAGGAGTCCTGGAGTCCTGCCCAGGGCAGCTTCCAGATGGCTTCTAGCGGGCCCCCCGGCCCACCGCCCGCCAACAAGGGAAAAGTCTGTGTTTCTCTTTTCTATGAAAACACACTCAGTGACGTGGAGGGGCTTTCCCCACACTAAGACCTTCTCCACCTCTTCTGTGGGTACCAGTTCAGTGTCCTACAGTTTCACTCAATTCTGACGCTCTCTACCTAGAGACGTCACAGGTTAAGGACTCAGTTCCACAAGACACCATCCTCAAGTACAGGTGTCACCTGCGCTTCTGACCAGCGGGCTATGCATCAGAGGTTCCCATGACCCCCCACCATTTGCTAGAGGGGCTCATAGAACTCAGGGAAACAGTCTACTTACTCGATTGCCAGTTTATTATACAGGGTACAATTCAGAAACAGCCGGAAGGTAGAGACGCCTGGAGCGGGCGTGAGCACGAGAGTGCCTGCCCTGGCCATGGACGCCCCCTCCCCTCCCGGCACCTCCACGTGTTTTGGGCCTTCATAGCAGCATGACTGATGACATCACTGGGGGTTCATTAACGCTCCAGCCCCTCTCCCCTCCCAAGAGCCCAGGAGGGAGGGTGAGGAGGGGGGTAGGGCAGAAAGTTTCAACCCCATTGGTTCCCCTGGCAACCATTCCCTCCCCATCCTTAGAGGCTTCCAAAAGTCACCTCATTAACAAAATTAGGTTGCAAGAAGCACTTTATGAATCACAAAAGACCCCTTGGTTGCTCTAATTGCCGAGGAAATTCCAAGGGTTGTAGGAGCTCTGTGCCAGGAATGCGTCTGAAGACCAAATATGTATTTTGTTTTACAAATCGCAAAATCACACCACTCATCGCAGGCAGAACTTCATCCTGGGGCACTGCGTCCACAGTTCCCGCATGGCTTCCTCTGGAGTCCGAGGGGAGCAGTGGGGTGGGCCACCGGAGGCCCCTGACCACACCCTCCTCTGGGAGGTGGGCTGGAAGGCAGGGAGGCTGGGCAGCCTGTGACTTTCCAGCGTCCAGAGCTCCAGTTCCCGCCCGCCCCGCTGGAGCCGGAAGGCAGGGAAGCTGCTGGCCTGGCCTGGGCCGAGGAGGGGAGCGCTCCGGCAGATCCGAGGCTACAGCCCACTCCTGAGCAGGGAGGGAGGGGGAAGGTCACTCAAGGGCCAGCAGAGCTCCTTTGCCCTGGAATGCCCAGGAATGGGACGTCTCCATGGTCCTTCTCTTCCCACCGACCATGGCCTAGAGCCCCACCCTCCGTGCCCCCCACCCTGCTTCCCCCTGCTCTGCCCACCTCTCTGGTTCCGCTTGGCTGCTCCCCAGCTGCTCATAGTCCCTCTGTCTCTCCTTCCTCACCTCCAGGGCCCCGGGGACCCATGCTTACCAGCCCCGCGGAGACCTGGCCCCCAGCTTCAGGCACAGCGGTGGCTCGGCCTCGGCCAGCTGGTGGAGCCTGTCCACGTCGTCCTCTCCGTCCACAGGGCGCCCGTTCACCTCCAGAATCTCATCGCCCTGCTGCAGCCCCGCCCGGGCAGCCGAGCCCCCTGGAGTCACCTGGAGGCGGGATGAGAGGCAGCGCAGGGAACCCTCTCAGGGCCTGGGAGGCAGCGGAGGCAGGTCCCGCAGGAGGGAAGGCCCGTGGGCGTCCATCACCTGGGAGATGGAGAGGCGAGGCCCGCTGGCCACGTAGCTGAGGCGGAAGCCATAGCCGCCGCCAGGCCCGGGGTACAAGCAGCACTGG